GCTAAGGAAAAATCAGTTAATCAAGTTCTTATGACGCATAAATACATTTACAATGAGCTTGAGAACAGCATTGAAATTTAGCATAATAAAAGTACGGTGAAGAGAAAGTGATTTTAGGTGAAGTGGATCCCATGGAGAATTTCAGCACAGAAAATGAAAATATAAAAAAACAACAAAATATTGACTGATTAGATTATTGCTTTTAGACGATTTCAGCATCTACAACAATCACATTACTGAACTCAATGATTAATGACTGAGTCATAAATAACTATGAGTTTTTAGGACTTCTGATTAAATGTTTAGATCGATGTAAAACCACCACCATCAGTTTCGATTTCGTGAGAAAAAACTGTTTCATAAATGCTGTAATTGAGCCTCACTAATTATACTGACATATATACTAATATTTCATGAATCAGTATATTGTTCATATCAAGATTAATGTTATTTAGCAGTATTTTATTACGGTTGACACTTTAAAAAATGCAAAACTTTCTAGATTCATTAGCATTGTTCGCTTGAATCTTTCTAATGATGTTCAAGACTTCAGTTGATCAGAGTTATCATTAACTCTGGAATGCAGACACATCCAGCTGATCCGTTGCAAATAGGATGAAACGCGAGTCCTGATTTCCACTGCTAGTCACCTTCCATTTCTACTTATAAAACCTTTAAAATTACTCACCATTGATATTCCTGGGCGTTGTGGATTATCCCAGAGTATACTGACTCTAAAGTTCAAACACAACGATACGTCTGTCGTAGAGTCGAATTCTCCTCATTACAAACGTTTTCATTAGACTATAATCATCAAGATCCTTTATATGTTGAAGCTGTTCTGTGATATATCTCTACTGAATATGATTTATTTACCATTCTTTTTCACTTTAGTCCTGAATGTCCAAAAAACAAATTCTGTAAGAAAGATATATTTGGTGAAGATCCCAGAACAGTTAATTTACATTAGAGCTAATTCAATTACATCACAATTAAGTTTAATGATTATGATAAATTACAGAAGTTATGGCAACTTGGACTGATGCATATATATGCCTGCTCCTACGTTGCAGATGACTGACTGACTGACATTAAAACACATAATCACAGTTAATTAATTGATACAATGAAAATACATTGAAAGTCAGTGAAAAGAATTCATATTAAATTAATACAAAAATGTGTTGGACGGAAATTGCATTCAAAATGAGCACAGTTTTACTATGCAAATATATTCACGGTTGAAAATTGTTAATTTATCCTATTAATTACATTAGTATATATTGCATAACATTTAAGGTATTCTGTGTACTTGTTTTTGGTTTAAAGTCAATTAACTATATTCCAGCCAGATTGGTCGGCAAAACCTTTTCTGGGGAGGCCTGTAGGCCTTTATGGAATGGATTACGTATGGATATGATTTTGTTAAGAACTGCGCTCCCGCAGGTCTTTTGAGTGTATGTAGGACTTGCAACAAGAAGAGCAAGTGAAAGCTCTTTGACGTTTTCATTTACACCGGATAGATATAGTCTACATGCATAATAGTTAACACAAGGATTCTCATCCGAGTATTCCTTTGCATACATAGAGGTATACTTAGATTGTGAGCAAATATACGTTATATGTACACCTGTAACGCACAGGTTTTATCCCATGCATCCCAAAGAATACATACAGGTATATTCACTCACTTGGGGCGTTAGATGTTTACCGCTCCCTTTGAAACGTATTCACTACAACAGACTGTCACTTACACATAACATGTATATCATTCAGCCCATGGCTAACTCTCCAGTACATCATGACACACACATAAGCATAAACATCTTCTCAGGAAGGTTGTTGGTAGCCTCTGCGTAGTCTTGCTACTATTTATTATTATTATGACTTCGACCTGAAAAATTAGGCTGCTGATTTCATTAGATACAGAGCAGGCAATGTTTCAGCTGACGATTCCATTGCACGACACCACACGCATGACCTTTGAATATACCTACATTAATGAGCTACATAAACCTGAGAACTTCCTCAATTCTTATACATAAGCGTACAAATCAGGTAGCTCGGTGCCATTAAGTGAGCCCCAAGTTGGAACCCGAATTAATCAGGGATACAACGGAGTGGATTATTCGTCCGATCTCCATAGACCGCCTCAGTTATCTCCCTATTCAGCAACTCCTGGAGGAAGGCTTAGTTCTGATCTAGATGCCTTGATGTTACTCAAATCTCTGCCTGTAGCACTTCTAGTATTATTGTCGGTCCCAAGCTCGGGTAAAGGAGGAGGACTGAACATGAGGTTAGCAACACAATCCCATAGAAAACAACCTTGCTAATAAAACTCTAACCAGAATAAACAAATTAATCCATCTAAACTCTGTTCTCTGAGTTGAAGGATCTTCATCCATGATGAAAGCCGAGATTTTTCGGGAGTCAATAAACCGATACCCTTTCTAACAAATGGAGGAACAACTTTTATAAGCACATAGAATGTCTGGACAATGTTGGGGACGGAAGGATCCGTCAAATAGCTGATAAAATGAGCAGATACAACTTCACGGTGTTTGGAATCAGTGAAAATCATTAGACATAATCTGGACATAAAAGGATAAATTCGAAAGAGATGATTCTGTGCTTTGGCCACGAAGACGAAAATGCGCACACTCAAGTTGTTCTGATGCTGTTCAATTAATCACGTAGTGCACTTATAGGATAGGAATCTCATGGGTCCAGAATCATCAAAACATCCTTCAAAACAAGGAAGGAGGAGATTACAACGAATGCTATCCAATGTTATGCACCCATCAATGATGTTAACGACAACGATAAAGATCAGTTTTATGAGAGGCTAAATTGATCATAGAAAAGCGTTCAGGACATGACCTGACCATCCTGATGGTAGATGATGTGAGGAATTCATGTCACAAACTGGATACACAGAAGCAAACAAGCAAGTGAAGAGGAACATTGAAGCTGACAGACAGAAATATGTGGAAGATCGAGCAAGATAACGAAATATGTGACACGTATATGATACAACGAAGAAACTGGCAGGCGAATTCAGTAAACCGGAGTGAACTGTCAAGAACAAGGAAGACAAGTCAATCACCGACATTTGAGATCGACCAAACAGGAACTTCCATGAACTCTTGAATAGACCAGTCTCATTGAATCCATCGGACATCGAAGCAGCAAACACAGACATTCCTTTGACTGTCTCCCCAACAACTATCGAAGAAATCAGTAAGGTCATCGGACACAGGAAGTGTAGGAAAGTAGAAGGACCTGAAAATTTACCAACTGAAGCTCTCAAGTCAGACATAAAAGTAACCGCAAACATGTTCCACGTTCCATTCAGGAAGATTTGGGAGGAAGAACAAGTGCCACCGACAGACTGGAAAGAAGGATAACTCCTCAAGATACCAACGAAACGAGATCTGAGCAAACGTGAGAACTACAGAGGCATCACACCACTATCAATACAAGGAACAGTTTTCAACGTGATGTTGCTGAACCGGACGAAAGATTCCCTAGACGTCCAGCTTCGAGATTAACCAACCAGACTTCATTCGCATCCATCATTAACCGAAAAATCCTGACACCACTGATCATTAATGAACGATCGATTGAATGGAACTCATCTCTATACATCAACGTAGATCACTACGAGAAAGCATTTGACAGTGTGGATAGGATAAGCTTATGGAATCTTGTTCGACACTCTAGTGTAACTGAGAAGATTGTCAACATATGGAATTCATACGACGGACCACACCGTAGAGTCATTCATGGAGGACAGCTAACAGATGCATTGCAAGTGCGGACTGGTGCCGGACAAAGTCGTTTACTCTTCTCCTTTCTCTAACTTCTGGTGGTCGATTGGATGATTATGAAGACCTTTACATCTAAGGGGAAGCACTGAATACAATGAACAGCTTGAATGCAACTAGACGATTTGGACCCATTTTATCCACCGCATACAGACCAGCGAATGCAGGTGAAGTGAGTCTGTGTATCATCAACCTCTACAGTAGTAGAACTCAACATGCAAAAGGGGAAAAGTAAGATCCTGAAGTGCAACACAGCAGGCACAAGTATTCATAAAGAATTGTCTACGTAAGATACTCAATATACGTTGAATGGATATGTCAGCAACAGCCTTCTGTGGGTGAGAATAAACCAGCTTCCAGCCAAATAGGAAGTTGGGAAAAGACGTTGGATCTGGAAAGGACATAAATTACGGAAATCATCAAACTGCATCACGAAACAAGCGCTAACTTGGAATCCTGAAGGGAAATTGAAAAGAAGAAGGCCAAAGAACGCATTGCGCCGAGAATTGGAAGTAAACATCAAAAGGATGAATAGTAACTAGAAAGCAATGCCCAGGACAGAGTTCGATGGAGAATACTTGTGGGCAGCCTATGCACTTCCACCAGGAGTAACAGGCGTAAGTCAGTGAGTAAGTAAGTAGGTAAGTGTAGAGGCTAGTTTCCTCTATATCTGACTCCAATAAATAGTATCCCGTTAACTGAGTATTTAATGCAGGTTAAATCTACTAGTAGAATTATGGATTTAGTCTAGGTTATTCAAAAGCCTGAACACCAGTTATAGAGATAGTTTATTGGTAAAGATTGTTAAAATCCGCAAGCATGGTGCTGATTAGAATTCATTGGTGTATAACAGTAGAAGATTCTTGAAAATTGACGGTTATGCATTTCGAAAACGAACCCAGTCGATAAATCGATCACTACTTAACTAAAAATAAAAGATTAAGTAATAAATACACTAATGTACAGAATATTTCTAAAAAAATTTGTCATACGCCAATAGAATTTTACGTAAAGATTGTCTAATCAGTGATGTATATTTAATAGGTCACAAATGTTCTAAATATTGGATGATGTGCTCATTCGGGTAAAATGGTAAATGTATATAAGGTGAAATTTGAATAGAAGAGAATTTGTTAATTGCCAAATTCATTATTCTAAAAAAGTTAAAAAAGAATGCGCTCTGGTCGTGCAGCTTGGATTGGATTAAATACAGCCTCATATATATGTGAATTGGTATTTTTGGGTTTGGCAATTGCAGTACAAATATCACCAGATTGGGCTGTTTACGATGTTTCATACATTGGTGTCGTCAATGATTATAATCAATTAAGTCGCTATCGTGGATTATGGAAGCAATGTATTACTAATCAAATAGGTAAGGTTTCAAGTGAAATATCTTTATTAATATAGTTTACTATCAATTGTAATCTACTGTAAATATATATATATATATATATATATATATATATATATATATATATATATATATATATATATATATATATATATAATTACTCTCTTGATTGTTAGAATAATCGTTTGTTTGTTTCTGTGACCATACATCTTATAGACTGAAATCATAGACTGAAAGCATCTCTACAGCATCCATAGTCTGATTGAAAACTTTCTAATTAGTTTAATAACAAGTACGACTGCTGGCACATTTTTAACGCGAATGATATGAATTGTAATCTTAATCATAACGGCTTAGATTATCCGTAACGTTCTCAATGCTCAGTAAACAATTTTCCATCCATCGCTTCCGACCATTCTTTCGTTCATTAAATGGATGAGCGACGCTTACTGAAGTTTATTGCTCACTACAGATTTCATCTTAAATATATGGAGTTATCTGCAACCATTTCCCATACATATCCTGGTAAACAGCAGTCCATAACACCAGATAGTAAGAGAAATGTTGTTGAAATGAAACTTCGAATGGAATCTTTGGTAGACAGTACTCATCCACTGGATTGACTGAGAAATCACCCAAAGCATCGAGTCCGCAATACCTATTGGATATTATAAACGTTACGGTAAACTTCACCAACTAGAGTTGTTTATTCACTATTGATACTGCTTATTTGGTGTTGAACATGAGTAATTGATAAATAACTCATGATTAGAAATTAGTTTCTACTTTTAGACTGTTGCTTCCCAAATCGGTACATTATTCAATGAAAGTTAACATATTGTCCTTAATAACACATCGATTGTTTTAAACAAATGAACACATTGATTTGATGGAAGAGAAATCCATTCACTTCATTTCCTTGCTCATATGTATTTTTAGTAAGTTCACCATACAATGGTCAATGTTATGCTCTGGAAACTAGTACAGAATCTGGCAGCTACAATGGTAATGTTCAACCAATATTATGTAAGTCGGTAAATTGTTTTCTAAAATATATACAGAACGATGGATGGGAAAATACTTTTTGAAATGAACATGAAATTCGTCACTAGTATAGGGGAGTTGTGGATATTGTTAGATTTTATAGTTTTACATGATGGACTAATTATTAGAGATCAGGAGGCATTGGACAACTGATCGTCGACGTATGAGAGAAATGAGGATTGCTCATGAACGACGCCACCGATAGCCGACTTCACAAAGTTCAGATGTCTAAATGAGTGCTTATCCTCGTGGAACTATGTTGACATTCGACTGTTGACAATTTGACCTTCAATCACTTCGCGATATTGGTCTCATACCTGACACGGTTGAACCTCACTAATCATGGCCTCTGTCACTCCTGTGAGTTAGTGATGCCAGACTATGAAATATTTCATTTGAGATCTGGTTAAACATGAATTCATAGTTATCTCACTCTTTTTATAAAATCTTCAGTCAGTGTAGATAAAGAAGACTACCATATGTTAAATTTCAACGAGTTAGGATAAATTCTCAGAATTACTAGACACTGTATAGGATCGTAGTAATAGAACAGGCTCGAAAGATAGCCATTTGGAAGTTGTATATCATGTGAGTGTACTCTTGACAACCTATTTGTGCAACATTAGAACTCCAAAATGATGTAAATATGAATCATCGGATTCATCATGGTAGCTGACTGAACTTCGATGAACTATTGAATAGACCAGTTACACCGAATCCATCGGACATCGAAGCTGCACACACAGACCTTCCTATAACTATCATCCCACCTGTTATTTCTTTAAAGGACGGCTTCTTGTCACGTGATTTATTCACCAATCGAAATACGACTTATTCAGTCAGGGCTAAAAGAATAACATTCGCCTAGTATAAGCAGCCTTGGTTAGTATCATAGATTAACAAGTAAGGTTCTGATGCAGCTGTAAATGCAGAGATTTGCGAAATAAGGGCAACATTCTTACAGTTGAAGAATACGTGGAACTGAAAACATCTGTGAGCCAACACCAGAGTCATTATTTTAATTTGAACATCAAGACAGTACCACTGATTAGAGCTGAAACATGGAGAACTACTACAACCATTATCAATAAAGTACAATTATTTGTAAAGAACAATCAACCCATGATACTCTAGATCCGTTCAGCAGACAGACAATGATGGAATCATCAAACTGAATTACTAAGTAAGCCCTAACTTGTATTCCGAAGTATATTGAAAAAGAGGCAGACCAAAATAACCTTGCTTCAGAAATTTAACACACACATAAAAAATAAATGAACATCACTTGAAAGTCGAGACCGGAACAGGGTAATTTAGTGATTCTTGTCGGTGACTTACGTGCCATGAGGGGTAACAGGTGTAATTAAGTAACAATATAGGATTCTCAGAGTAAACTTCATCACTAGTATCAGAATCAGAATCAGATACCGTACAAAACAACGGAGAAAATGAAGTTAAATAATTATGTCGCTTAAATAAATGAAATTTAGTATATAAATATATCGATTGCTATTTTTTTTCATTATTCGCAAAATGATTGACCTGACAAAATACACAGTACTTTTGCATTTATAACACTGGTGCTTCACACGATTCCTTGTCTATTATTGATGAATGATAACATAAAATTTAACTCGGAAAATGTTATCACCTTTTTTTACAGCAATGAGAACAGCTATAAACGCACTGCAAATCATTACAATCATATTGGTTTTCATCATCATCGTTATAACGTGTGTCTTCATAATCGTGACATGGAAGAAACCAGAGAAATTCAAACCACGAACAGCTCAATATACAGCTTTGGGTGGAGGTGCCGCATTATGGCTTACAGGTAAATTTGTTTCATGCGTATTACGTCGTCTTGTAATATTATAAGTGGAACAGTGCTTCGATCGTAAAAGTATCGAGTTTTCAACCAATAGGTCCCAGTGTGAACTCACTTGACATCACTTCAGTTCGGGTTTCACGGATAATAATATTGCTACCATTTGAACAATGATTGTGACTAAACACCTAATGCTTTAATCTGTACTAGATAGATGAGTTATGTTGTCATATGTGTATAAGTATATTCGTCACAAAAAATCAGTATGAATTTCAGATGTGTGTGCTTATTTACAAATCAACTTTCAACGTTTGCGCTCATTGAATTTCATTTTCTTCAACCAATTACGTTAGGTAGTATGTAAACTGCGTGTGTCTGAAATACGTGATTCATACAGTGTAAGCTGGCATTGTGTTCTGAACTCAAATTCGTAGGGTAAAGCAAGAAGAACCAATAAAAACTCAGTTAACACCATGCAGCTCGTACTGGTTAACGAGTCATTAGTTTGACACAGTGCCAAGGTCATATAAATCGATGTTCTAATTGACGATTTAGTCAGGTGATCATTGGTAGATCAAAAGGTCTAACAGAACTATTAAGTGAGTATGAAGCACTGATCATACAATGCTGTAAAAACACAAACAAATATCGTGTTAGCTCCAAACTGCTTTCTCATCAATCTTCATTTCTAACTATTCACTATGAATTTCAGATGAATGTGTATGCTTATATACAGATCAAGTTTCAACGTTTTCGCTCATTGAATTTCATTTTCTTGATCCAAATAGGTTTAATTTATTTCATCAGTCTTCTAATATATTACGAAGATATGACACAAGAAAATTATCGACTAGATACTAAGCTAACATCAGCCAGATCTGCATGGACAACGGTAAGATTGAAACGATAAGTAGATAGCTTTGTACCTGTTTACTATTGTCAATAGGTTGTAGAATATTGTCAAATATTTCAACACATACTACTAAAATTTCATATTGAATTACTCATTTGAGTTGTGTGCGAAAGCTTGCAAGCATCGACTACAATCTGTTATGAGAGATCACTGACGATATTTGTTACACTCTCAGATCTACTCTATTTGTCCAGATATGTAATATTCACTGCAACAGTATGAATGTGACAATACTATAATAGTCCTTTCATTAAATTTATGATTTATGATAGTGTTCAGATTTTCGTTGAAGCGAATTTCAGGAATCTTACTTACCATTTAATTCTCGTATAAGACATCCAGTATTCTGTTTTAAATATTCAGATGTTTATTGAATGCGTTCAGACTAATGCCAAAACTCATGCATCAATGTGAAACAGAGTTCAGCCAGATTTTATTTTGAGATTATTCTGCGTATTGATAGACAAATAACATTCGAAGTACTGGAATCATGTTGCGAGATTTCGAATATTGAAGTTAAGCACAAATCTTAATGTGGATGAAATGAGTAGTTGTAAGGAGTGATTTCAAGTTCTTCAGCTCAATATTTCAATCTGATCACTGGATGCCATTCTACCTACCGACTTGATAATATGAGTGTTCGATAGTGTTCTGGCTATTGTGCAAACGGTCTTTATGCTAATCACACCTTGTGATGATCGATCGTGATATCATTAGCTAATTGCAATGTCCACTTTCACATCCTTTATTCTGTGAAAATTTCTGAAATACTCCAATTCTCATGTGAACCCTATTTGTTGTAAGTTTTTCATGCATCAAACTGACCCTGTGACATAACAACCAATTGCAGCACAAGAGGAAACTACCTATACAATCTCACAGATTAAACAGATCACTCATGAGATTTTCATGATCTGACACACAAAGATCATGCTAACAACGTTCAATTGCTTAATGTATACAACATTTTCAGAGAATACGAAACAAGATCCTTCGTCTGAAACATTTAAACCAACATGTGATTAGTTAGTAATTAGTTATGGGATTTTCATTGCATTGATGCCTATACGACACATCATGTTACGGATGCATATATAGATGTAAAGCCTCTCTGATTATAATGATCATATGCTCACCAGTGACTAGCTTCAAGAGGCATTTCCTGAAGATCTAGTGAGAATCTGTGGCCAGTGGAGTTCAACTGGATCTGTTGTGAGATAGTAACTCACTGAAGGCATTGGTGGATGTGTCGCTCAATTTCGGGAATTAATTGAAATCAGACATTAACACCATTGGATGCCGGCTCAGTGGTTTGAGGATTAAGCGTTCGCGCGCGAGAAATATAGGTCCTGTGTACAAATCTCGCGAGAGGGGATCGTGCATGCGCACTGCTGAGGAGTCCCACAATAGGACGAAACGGCTGTCATGTGCCTTCAGGCTTTCCATGGTTGTCTAGCTTCAATTGGTTCATGATTTTAGCTTTTAAAATTACTATAATACTCACAAAAACCCCGTTTGATATAATTAATGTGACGAATGATGGTCTTCAATCGAGTGGATGGGTTCGGATAATTGGAAATTAATGAGTATTTTTTTGTACATGACCAGTCACACTCTCTAGTTGGAAGCTACTAACAGTCACATTACATTACGTTGCATTACATAAATACATCATTTTTTAATGGATGGATCCACAAATGCATTACAACAATCAAAATTTAATGTCGAATGACGTTTTACTGAACTCTTGTGGAGAGCGATTTCTGAATTCACATAAAATTCACAAACTACTCACATTATACAAACCAATCAATCTAATCATCATTGGAAGACTTGAACATTCTGTTTTGAACTTCGTTAAAAGTTGAATGTGTAAACAGTGAGAGTATTTGATTGTAGATGATATGTATCTGTAAATAGCCCTATCTCCATATAGCTGGTAAGTAACTGGCTTGAAAGATGACAAAGTGTACTTATCAGTGATGATACTGAGAGCTTAAATAGGCAAATACTTTTTGGTATTATATATGTTTATGTTATAGAATTTGATTGATTTATAAATTTCTGCTTACCTAGATTGTTCGTGATAATACGGTATATTCACCTGGTGGTATGATACCAATGGCTTGGTCAGCTTGTATACTTATTTATGCTGGCAGTATTTTACAACTGATAGCAAGTACTCTACAGCAACCTCCAGTTCGAGAGGGGTATGGATTGTAAGATCATGAACAGAGAAATAATTCGACTTTGAAATTGAAAACACTCCTTTATAATTCAATATATTTTTGTGTATTTCAATTAGTTTCTTACTGCCATTGGATATTATTTCCACATGTGCACATGTGTAAACAGTGTTGCTTCCTATCACTGATTCCAATTGTTTCCTTTTCGTATAGTCAACAATAAGTTGATACTCTTTGGACTGTTATGATTTCGAATGTAATTGACGTAAATTATAATAATTATTATTATTAGTAACACGATATATTCTGAAAATACCAATTACAGAATTCATACCAGTTTACAGGCATAATCAGCTTGATATAGATCGTGTAAAGGATAGATATGTGATATTAGGTTGTTTGATGTGTTCTAGTTTTGAAGAACAGTTTTTGTAGTGCATTTATAACATTTATTACAGCAATGAAAGTGTTCAAGTTGGAACTCTTAATTCACTTTAAGTGGAACTGCAATTCATATATCCACTGTGTATTGAAGGTCAATTTCTGAGTTATAACCAATCGATATCATCACTACAACATGTGAGAAAATAAAATGGAATCAGCGAGCACGAAACGACTAAAGGGATAATTACTACGATAGGTCAGTGAGTCGGCCAGCCGGGTGTACCATGATAAATGTGTCAGGTTATTTTGTGATAAACCATTCATATTACATGTTATTCATGTTATCTAAGATTATCAGGAACGGTGTTAGTGTTAAGTATCTACACGTAGGGAGGTTTACTTGGTGGGTTTGGTAATAAAATGATTAAACGTTAGGAATTCCCATAATCTCACTTGTGGAATGAGATATACTTTCAGGTGTAAGAATATTTAAAGCATTTTAGAGGAGAAGTAGGCATCGATGCAGCGAAAAGATGATGGCAGTGATTTTATTCCACGGACAGATTGTGGTTAATTATTCCAGAGTCTGGAAAATTTAATGGTAAAGTAATTAATATGGAGAGAAGATTTACAATGTTATGGTTTCACTAATGACTAGGAGTTACGTATGATGTGAGTAGGAGTTTCTGGATCTTGAATAGCTTCAATGAATGGTTTATTAATTATTTCGATGAAAAAGGTTAGATTAAGTTTAAGTCTTCTCTCCTTTAAAGGGTCGAGTTCAAGTTCATCACATCTGCATTTATAATTTAAGGTGCAATTAGTGCCAACACTGTGAAGTGCAAGCCGTTCCTGAATAGACTTTAACTTTACCAGTAAGATATATTCGATTGTCTGATATGAATATTCGTAGACTAATCATACTGACTAGTTGATTTTGTTTTTCAACATGTTTAAAATAATCTGAACACTAGTTCATTTAAGTACATAATAAACAAGAAACGTAGGACAAAAGTATTTATAAATGAATCTAGTTTACTCAATTACCTGCTTCGTTTTCGCCTTCCACATAAATAAATTAATCAGAATTCAGGTAACTCAGTTACCTGTGATGACTTCATCATTTTGAAATGAAGTTGTATACTCTCGGTACACATGAATCGAAACCTTTTAAATTCATTGATTCGTGAAGTAAGAAGATTAATATATTAAGGCCTCACCACTTCTGTGATTCTTTTTAATTCCATCACTAAATTACTTCACATATGCTCTAGACATTTTGATTAAGCTTTGGACATCCAGGTATATCAGTGACTTAGTCTATTTAAAGCAAGTTGCTAGTCTTCAAAATTGGAAGTCTTTGATTCAAAATCTGGAGGGATAGGTTCTCACTACTGGAGAATTGAATAATATGGTGAAACATCTATTTAATGGTCCTTGGTTTTCAATGTTTCTTCAAGTGATATCATTTTTCATTGAAAAAGAAACAGTTGAAAATTCAAATAATTGTACTGTATGAAAACAGGACAGATTGGTTCAGCGATGAGTTCTCATTCTGGTCAACTTAATTTTACTCTATATAGTCGTTATTTATTTGTAGTTGTTAAGAGCTTAAACATTCATTGATAAGTAGATAAAATGAATAACTTTAGAGAAGGTTTGGGCAAATTGATTACATAAACTATTGGTATTGTGATGAGCTTAGAAACAGAAATAAGTCATTTGACGATGAAAGGCCAACAGAGAATGATACAGGGAAGAAGATGCTAACTTTGCAAAAACGAGAGTTTGAGAGCATAGTCAAATAAGAGGTACGATAAATTTCTATTGCATTCATGCTTTTGTGGGTTTTTTCAGTCATATAATAAATGCTTCGACGACGTTAGGAAGGCGGAAATCCACTGTTATTGACAAGTTTCTACTTATCATGTGGATGAGTTTAGACGCTGATTTTGTTTTATCCATCAGAAACGTGTTCACGAAGTGTTCGATTATAAGACATCTTAACGATTAATTTTAATTTTATTTCAATCAAACCGCACAATGTTGTTAACTTCTTTCAGATAGGATATGCATTGATCAATCCATATACCTAGTTTTTCATAAGTAAGTAAATTGATGAATGCATATAGAAATGGTCAGAAGTAAGAGTCTATCCTTAAGATTGTTCCTGAACATTAGTATTCTTATTTTTCCAATCTCATAATAAGAATAACACTTTTGAACTGTGTTGTTTTATCTTACCTATCTGTTACTATTCTTATTATTATTCTGAATAATAGATATATTATCTGTGTTCATTTTGAAAAATCACTATATGTTTGCGATTGTACAACTTTCAAAATAAATTCACCTATAAACAGAACTCATCTCCAATTCTTGTTTTCATCTGTATATGTTATTTACCTAAAGAATGAAGTGTTCTTCATAAGACTGTTTGAAATACATTATCAGTAATAGAGAGAGAGAGTAACTGTAGTTATTAACTATAAAACACTCATATGTAAATATACTGTATTGAAATTCATTTGCAATAATGTAGCTCTCTCTCTCTATATATATATATATGTATATAATATTATTTGTGATATTTTTTGATTGAGATCATGAACTGGTTGATGTCAGACCACCATTAGAGATCCTTGGAAGCAGTGGACAATCGTTCCGTCTTATTGTGAGACTCCTCAGTAGTGTGCATTCACCATCCCGCTCGCGGGATTCGAACCCGGGGTGGTCTAACATCAACCGATTTATGATCTCAATAAAAAAAACATAATAATCTCCTTTTGTAAGCAATGATGGATAGTGGCTGGCAGTGGAATCCAGGACGCGCGTTTCGTCCTATTTGAGACTCGTCAGTTGGATACACCTGCATCTCAGAGTTGATGTTCACCCTGGGACTCGAACTCAGTACCATTCGCTTCAAACGCTATCGCGTTATCCACTTTGCTACTGAGTCCTGATAGCCAATTGTTTGTTCAATGGGGTGAATTTCAATTCACTTGGTATTATTTGGCTTGTATCTTCCCACTGAGGTTTAAGACTGCAATTGATCACTCTGTTATCAGCATATGTGCATACTGTGCGTATGCCTCGATATTGCCTTAATTCACAAGCTTTTTGTAAGCAATGATGGATAGTGGCTAGCAGTGGAATCTCTAGAACCCCATGCTGATATTTATGATATGTTGAATATATTTATACTCTTTAAAGTATAGTTTTAATAAATTATCATTTTACTACACAATAAATGAATACAATGCCAAAAACAATAAATCAAATTAACTTTTAGCATTGGTTACCTATATTCTTATCAATATAATTCGTCTACAATACAATACAGTAATGGTTTGTCTACAATTAATTAAAGGACACTTAATCTAAATAGTTACCCTCAATGAAATGACCTTAAATGAACTAAATTAGTTTTTTTGTTTTTGTTTTCATTAAAGATGTATCTACTAAATGTTAAACAACAAATTAAACTTGGTATTTAAATTATAAACAAATAAACAATTAAAAAGAAGAAGAAGAAAAACAAAACACCCCAGAAAACTCTTGAAAGAATGATGACATTAAATGATACTGAACAACTGAATAGTTTAGATTGTCAGGATATATTGTCTATCAATAAATTACCACTTCATGATCGATTTGAACATAAGGAGAATTCATGTAATTTATCTGTGAAATCAAGTAAGTTCAATATGATCAATTTGAAGTTTAATGTTGATTAATAAACATTTGAGAATATAGAAATCATTGAAGTAATATAATGGTAATAAAATATGTTATATTCTAATCTATTTTCTTCATCGCTTGATTACATTCATTGGAATGTAAGTTCAAACATTCTTTTTTCATATAAAGACAGATTATCCTTAAGTTCCAATCTTATCTTTCATATAAATATCCAAGAAACAGTCATTTTATAATAATCTATTGATCTATGGAACGTCGATTAAACATCATTATAAATGACTAAAAAGTTTGTATTTGGTTTACTTACATAATTACTTACGCCTGTTACTCCTAACGGAGCATAGGCTACCAACCAACATTCTCTAACCCAATCTGTACTGGGAATTCCTTTCCAGTTCTATTCAATTCTTGTTCATTTTCCCCATGTCTATTTCCATTTCTCGACGTAATATGTTCTTCGGTATTTCTCTTCTCCTTTGGCCTTCATTATTCAAAATGATCAGAGCTTGACTTGTGACGGAGTTCGGTAATTTCCTCAATGTATTTCCTATCCACTTCCAGAACTTCTTCCTGATTTCTTCCTCCACTGGGATCTGGTTTGCTCTCTCACACAGTAATTGGTTGCTGATAGTGTCTGGCCAACGGATCCGAAGTATTTTGTGTAGACAACTGGTAATAAACACCTGTATCTTCTGGAGGGTGGTTTTCGTATTTGCTTTAACTATCATTAGTTAATGAAATATATGTGACAGGAAATACTGACAGGTGTCTTAAATGTAGTTGCTTATTCAAATAGCAATTTGAATAAGGTATACATATGATATGTATGTCATTGTAAAAGTTAAGAGTTGATTATTTGAATGATACTTCAACCTAGTAATGCTGGATTAAGACTACCATTTGACGGAAGTTTCGATCATCTCAGTGGAACACTATTCACTCTCTCTTTCT